AGAACAAATAAGTGAACAAAACATAAGAAAGGGAAAGCGCATATTAATTTTAATTTAATTTTTTTTAATTTTTAAGGATAATAAAATAATGAAACAAATTTTTCTTTGATTTTTACATTTTGTGTAATAACGATATTAATATTATTTTCTCCACTTTGATAACATGAGAAATAAATGAATATGTGCGAATCTATGTTATTTTGTATGAAAGCAACAGGGGTCGTCTTACGTGAGACTCTCTGTAGATACCTACATTTGTTTTAATTTTTTAAACATTTTTAAAGAAAATATAAAAATAATGAAAGAAACTTTACATTTTTTTGTATTTTACGTAAATGTGCTAGCCGAGGCGAAGCCGAGGCAAGTGTATTTAATGTAGTTCGACCTTTTAATATTATTTTCTCGACTTTGCTAACAAAGAAACAAATGAATCCAGACGCAATAATAATAAATTTCCGTCGAATTTTCCATCCATGTCCGAGAGTAAGCAAATGAAAAAGTGCTTTTCCGTCGTGGCAGCATCGCATCGTAGCGATACGACCAAAAAAGAAAGGAAATAGGCACAAAGTGAGATCGAGAAACATTAATAGCCCTCGCAAAGGCGATTTTATAAAATGCTGGCGCAAGAAGATAAAACGAGACAAAAATTATTCTTCCCCTTTTTATTTCTTATGCCCGGAGAGAAAACGGCGCTCTGCCCTCTCCCTTCGGAAATATCGCCCCTCTTTTTCCGTTAGGTAGTCCTCCTCTTACCCCCTCATGGCGGCGGCGGGCGCGCGGACAAGAAAATCATTTATCAACTCTAATTGTCTCTCTTTCCAAGTCTTGAGAAAAAATTCCTATTTCTTGGACCCAGATTGAGGAAAAGTGTGATAAGGATTGTTGTCTTATTTGGGGAAGTTGGAGATTAGGAAGGAGGGGGAGAATGATGGAGGAGTTGCAAACTGCTACATGAATGTCAAGGACACGTGAACACTCCTTTCAAACTTTTTTCTTGTTTTTAAAGATACAAAATAAAAAATAAAAAACATACGTTTTGTCGTATTTATTTCTATACCTTTCTAATAAACATACTGGTTTGAATTAAGACTTTAAATTTGTCATCAACTGTACCTATTTTTTTTTGTTATAACAAAACAAATAAAAATTTATTTTGTTGAATAATTAAAAGCTACAAAAAATATAGTAATGAAATGTGCAGATTGTGCAATTTTTTTAATTAAGTACAGAGTGACTCGTCTAAAGTCTACCATAACCATACAGGGTTATTCTGGCGAAACTATCACATTTTTTGGCAAATAAATTTATAGGTGTGCAATGGCTATAAAAATACTATTCAAAAAAATTTTGAATATTAATTAATTGTTTATACTTACGAGATAAACATAGTATTTTTTTTAATGGAAACCTACCACATTTTTTTTAGACAACGAGTTTGTTACAAGAATTGTTGCTGTGCAATTTTTTTTTGTAAACCTTACACTTTTTTGTTAAAAAAATGTTTGACTTTTAAGAATTAAAGAATTTTTTTGGAGTAAACTACCAGTTTTTTTGGAAATAAATTAATAAATGTTTAAAGGTTGTAAAGGAGCGATGCAAAAAAAAAATTTTAATTGATTGTTTAAACTTTTGAGATTATAATACTAATAATTACTATCAACAGTAAAGTTTCAATTTAATCACTTTGTAATGTAATTTTTTAATAATGACTCAAAAATTGCAAAAAAATTTAAAAAGGTAAATTTTGAACTACTTTGTATAAGAAATATAAAATATTTTTTTAGACAAATTTTCAATAACGTTAAAAAGTAAGGTAACCGAGGCGAAGCCGAGCCTTTGTATTTGCTTATTCGACTTGCTTCACTTACATTGTTTTTACTCTAAACATAAAAAAAACAGGAAAATAAGTTTTAAAAGTAAAAAAAAAACTTTTGTAAATTGGGGCTAATACTGAATTCACTTCCTTTTTGTTTTTCCATTAATTAATGAGTTTTTTGACCATTTATTAGAAACGGTAACTAATTGATAAATTTAAAAGGTGAAAAAAAAGAAAAGAAAACGGAAAAGAAAACAGAGGAGAATGTAGAAGAAATAAAAAAGTGATTATTTTCTTAACATTTCATTATTAATTAGACTTACAAACAAGCTAATTACAGGATGACTTAAAAGTAAACAATTTTTTGTTTAAAAATACATAATTAAAACTAAAGTAAAATAAGTTTTAGTTTTTTATTGATATTATTAGTTCTGAAAGTAAACATAAAACTGGAATTTTGTCATATTGATTGTCAATTATTACAATGTTTTAAAAGCGCGACATCTGTTGGGCGGTAGCGAAACTTTAAGTCAATTAAAAGCTCGCTTTTTTATCGATTCAGGGGTTCAACACCTGGCTAATGTAAAAGAGAACTTTTTACAAGGGTTGGACCCTTTACTCACTCACTTTTTTTACTATAATTTTATTGTCTCATGGAACATTGACATTTTTAAAGATATTTGCCTTGATTTAAATAAAAAATGACTGTTTTTAGAATTTTTTTTGTGTTTGTAAGAATAATACCTAACAACGTTTAGTAATATAGTTTGAAACAACCCCCAATTCACTGACCCCTCATTCAATTTGGTCACCTGTTTTAATAAAAATGGCCAATGGTGCCAACCTCCCGCCCTTATTTCCCTGTATTTAGGGTATATTTTTGCAAATGTCGCAACTCACCCCTTTTTGAAAAATGTAAGTTTAAGGGTATTGATATAGTCAAGCAAGACCCGCCCCTCTTCCGTGGTAACCAAGGTAACTGTACTAACCAATGAGATATAAGTAGTTCACATCTTATATCTACACTTTTGAGGCTGACTATCGTATGACTTAAGAGTCTCTTCATGTAAGGCCGAATTTGGCTTGAGATAGGTATTTTTAAGCGGGGCGAAGAGTCGAGGGTTTCCAAGGAGTGGTTTTGCAAAGGTAGAGGGGAGGGTTTAACTAAAGCAGCCCTTTTCCTTTAGGCTTGTTTCGCTCCCCGAGATTGAATTTCTAATAATATGTGTGTGCTGTTTTTGATTAAATTTATACTAAATTGGGAAAGTTGGAGGAAAAATAAGAGAGTGGTTAGAGATGGGCGAGAGGGGAACGATGTTAAGGAAGATTTTTCTTTAGCAACTCTTGGCACATGACAGATTAAATTACTCAACTTTATAATGAAATTAATTTGAAACTTCCTCATCCTTTGCATATAACATTTCATATCCTTCGAGTTATCTGCAGTTAAACTACAAGTTCACATCAGACCGATCTTGGCTCGAATTTTACTATTTTCATCAAATAACTTCCGACAGGAAACTCGGATCAATTTACACACTATAGACACGATAATGGACAACAAAATTTAACCTAAAAGAAATTGTTATTTCTAACGCAAAAAATAAACAGGAAAAATATCTCTTTTAATTGTAGTAAGAATTGTACAAATTTTTGATGCAATTAATACTTTTCTTTAAATTTCATGAAAAATAACTTAAAAAATGCTTTTTTTTTACGCAAAAACCGTCTTTTGTTTGAGTATAAATAACGAAATGTTTGAAACAAACACAAATTCATTGACGTCTAATTATTCTACTATTCTACAGAGTGTTAAAAAATGTCCACCTTGTTTGTTGTTATTTAAAAATTAGAAACTTATAATTAGAAATTAAAACTCCATCTTTGACAATATTACATTTAATGTTTTAGAAAAATCAGAGTTGGCCAAGACGAAACTATTTTTTTAGTATACAGAATGATTCGTTAATGTTTTATTTTGACTATCCTAAGATATGATATAGTACAAAATGCATA